GGCAGGTGATGGTCCTTCCCTTGCTGAGGTGCCGGCCTCGCCTCTTGCAGCTGCCCGGAGTTTCTTCTCGTTGAGACAAGAGTTCTAGCTGTGGGAGCGCAAGGGCAGAACAGACTGCTCCGAGCCACAGGAGAGGGACAGAAGGGACTGCCAGCAAGATCTTCATCCCTGCAGCGCTGCTGCTAGAGTTAGAGAGAAACCTGCTGCCTCTCCTCTCTCTTTCTTTTGATCTCCTGGAGAGGAGAGGTGAGTTGTTGTCCTTCCCTCTTGTTGTACTGTAGCAGTGGAGAAAATAGGCTAGCTTGCAAGCTGCAGAACTTGTTCAGGATGGCTTCAAGCCCCAGCTGATTGCTTGGTTTATTTCACTTGAGAGTCAGCCCTGTGAAAAGGCCCACTGATGGAGGAAGAGACTAGCACCGTGTTAACTGCGCGGTTCTCTCTCCTTTGCTGCAGTGCCCACTTTCACCGCTGTCTCCTGCTCTGCCTGCTCCTGCTTTCAGCATGGTAAAGAAGAATACTATCCCCGATGGGTAAGTATCCCTCACACTAAGCAAGAGGCAGGAGCGGGCACAATCCTGCCCACAGAAAAGGGGCACTGACTGCCCCAGGCGCTTTCTTGACACAAGCATCTTCACCAGCTACAGCCAGGTAAGGTAGGTATCTTCTCCAAGAGAGGAACAACACAGCCCTTCATCCCCCAGGTGAGTATAATGCTCCAGCCTGTCTGTGAACACTTATCCTTCATCAGCCAAACACAGTCCCTTCTTCCTAACCTTCTCACACCCAGGTGTATACTTACTGGGGAAATGGGAGAGTAGTCCATCCTTCTGACTACTCAGATGTTTGCTACCAGGAGTCAGGGAATAGCTGATAAGATGGGAGCAGGTGGTTGCATGCATGTGATCAAGGAATATATTCATGGCTTCAGGTCCAGAAGCATTCTGCGTTTTTGTTTTTAACAAGAGGACAACAAAAATGTTTTATTGGCAAAAATAATAATAAAAAACCCAAATGCACTATACAGGCTTTCCTATGACTTGATTGGGAGTGCATATGGAGACCGTAGAAAGATCTCATTTAAAACAGATATAGTTCTATTCTCCAGCTCTACTGAAAAAAAAAAAACAAACAAAAAAAAAACACCCCAGAAAAAAGAATAAGTCCAAGTTTAAAAGTTTAGCCCACGTGTTACTGCTGACATCAGTACAAACTTCTTGGATAGGAGGGTGTGCTGAGATACAAAGGCACACTGTAATGGGACAATAACTTGCACTTTATATATTGTTTGAGGAAAGGTTGATGTTATCCTGGGTTTAGGGGAAGTGTTAAATAAGTTTATTAAGAAAATTCTTAGGAGAAGCAATAAAATACAAAAAGCTTGATTTCCTGCAAAATATGTTGGCTTAAAAGCAATCAATAGAAATAAAAGATGAACAAAATTTTAAAAATATCTTCAAGAAACTTTGAAGCTTTTTTCATAGCTGACAAACTTAGGGATTAAAATTAGAATAAAATTTAAGAAAAGCTATTTAAGCATGTCTTTCTCTGAAAGTTTCTATGAAATTTCAGTTAAAAGTTGGACAAAATTGAGCTAAAGTGGGTTAGGTTTGCAAGCAGTAATGCAGAAAGCATGAAAGAATAACTGTCCTCCTTGTTTCTCCATACTTGGAAATTATTACTAAAACTTTGAGAATCGGGTGCTCATTTCTCCCTTCTTTTTCCCCCTGGCATTTGAACTGGAGCAGCTTTCAGGCTACGTACATTTCTTCTCTTATGTATGGAAGGAGCAGTCGACTGTACTTTTGGCTTCTATGATTGGAAACTAATACCTGTGTATCTTTCAAGGAGAGAAACATCTACTGTGGAGTAATTGGTTATAAAGTTAGTGTTACCATCTGACAAAGCTCATGAAACTGAAGTGCTTTGAGCTTCTCCAGATACTTACTTTTTGATACTATTAACAAATCAGGCTAGACATCCACAGTATTGAGTTTGGCAGTAAAGGAGTTTTAAGGAATTGTCAGTCTCCCAATCTCATGCAGCAGTATACTGATGTCATCTTTGTGCTAGCACAGCACGTTGTAGTTCTTCACTGTGAATTAGTTTAGTACACCAGGAAGAAAAAAGCAGTCAACCCTGGAAGAGGACTTAAGGAAATCCAATTTTAACTTAGGTGATCCTGCACATGCAATTTGGCCCCAGAAATAGTTGTTGGCAGAAGTGAGATTGTGGTACACTATAGCATAAGGGCCAGTCTAGACGGTAGCATACTATGGAAGTATATCACAGTATTGTAATAGCAATAAATCTGACAGTAACTGTTTTGTTTTTAATGATACTGCAGGAGAAACACTAGTAGATAAACAGAAGAAAATCACACTACATACAGACCTTTTCTGAGATTGTCTTTCTGTTACTGCCTCAGTTCTTTATACAGTTCTTAATGGTTTTAATCCAAATTCCATTATGCTAATTAAAGCAATACAATAAACTTAAGGTTTCAGTTAAGTTATAAGTAGCGAGGAATAGTGCAACTAAACACAAAATGGTGATTTTTTTTTTTTAACTGGTCAGCTAATTACTATGACCTTTCACAATACTGTGTCTGCAGTATAATTAAAGTTGCCTTTATGTAAGGGTTGTACTATAGCACTGCACGACCATGCTAGGTATCAGCACTTTGAGTGTACTCAGCACCTGAAGTAATATTAAAGTGGTATTAATTGCCAGTGTTGCCTGTGGATCTGCGCTGTCAGTCTTGTACCTTGTTCTTCTTGGCGCACTCTTGTTCTTGTGTCCCTGTCACTCAGCCCTAGGCCTGAATGTTTGATCTGATGCTATTTGCACAGTCTTTGCTCCAGCAGTGAGAGGAAGAGGTGGACTGGAAGTAAGACTTCCTGTATTCCTTCAGAGCAAAAAGCGTTTCTCCCTTTTCCCAGTAATATCTTGGAGCAGAGCAAAGGTGTACAGTGTCCATTGCAGTCTCAGTCCTAGAAGTTGGTGCTGGAGAAGTAATTTTGTAATGAAGTAAGCCATCAATATAAGAGAGGGATTCAAGTGTTCTCTTGCACTGCAGTTTCCACCATGTAGTCAAGTTCTGGTTCTTCACTGTGTCTGAAATGCTATTGTCCTTCAATAGTTGCATATTGTAATATTTTAGTGGAGAACCAGCCAGTAAAAGGAGTTCAAGTTACATAATACAGAGTCATAAAATACTATGATGTTTTTACAGATTTATACATGTTTGTGCATAAGCATTCAAAATCCTACTGTGGGTATAATTTCATAAATTCAGGTTTAGTTCTGAAGAACATCTGCAGACATATCACCTTCTTGCATGTTTTCCTTAAATACGTATTAAAAAATACCAGGAGTGGGATCTCTTTTTTGTAAGGACAAAGCCGAATTATTTCTTCCTAAGCACCGTAAACATACTTGTTTAACGGAATTGTTTCTGTGCAGACTTAAAAGCATCAGCATTTTCATTTAGACAGGAATGTTGACGTCTATGGCATAACTGATTGTGCATGTTCAAGGGTGGATGGGAGAGAAGGGTTACCATAAGGTGAGAGTTTATTTGTGAAGTAAAAGTGCTTCATACCATCAGGCATAGAACGTTTGCATTTAAAAATGTGGGATGGAGAAAAATTACTTCTTATAATACCTGAGTAACGATAACACTGCTGTAAGACTTGAAGGCCCATATTTTGTGTTACAGTACAGCACAACAAGTACAAAGCTATGCAATTACTTGCTGACATGATAAGGAAACTTTTCTCCCATGCTTTACATCCACAGTATTTTTTTACAAGCTATGACTTATTTGTATCCCACTTGCAGGGGTTGAACGAAAGCAAACTGAGAAATCTATGTAGTAACAGATGATTAAGAGCTCTATTCCCTCCTTTCCGCTTTGAATCTGTTCAGTATGTGTTCTGTCTTGACAGTGTGTCATGGTCTTTGTAGGGCTATCTTTTCTTCAACAGAATAGTATTGAATCTGGTGTCATGGAGGTATGGAAGCCACTTGGAAAATAAAGCTGTGTATCATAATATCATGCAGTACCAGTAACCAAAAAAAGGAGAAGAGGTTCCAAGTGGTATTTTCTAAATGATCTTGCTACAGCTGACAGTATTTCAGACTTGAGTTTCCCTAGAGTTACAATAACTATCCTTTTTGAGTGTTTTGGAATTCACTTTCCCAGGTAAGTTCTAAACTTATAACTGCTTCATAATCATAGATGTTAATGAGGGGCTCCAGAATTGTAGAAACCCTTGAATTGGTAAGCATAGCTTCAGATACTGCTCTCTGAACTTACTTCTCCACCCACTGTAGCTTTTGAGTAATGCCTACCTATTTACACTGTTTTACTAACAGTGATTTTTAACTATTAGATTAAAATAATTCTGAATTGATGCCTTGAGTTCAGTATGTTTCTCTTACTCTGGAATACTGGAACACGTTATTGCTGAAATGAATGTTACACATGGAAATGTAAGATAAGAGACCTTACCTCCTTTTAGACTTAAGGTTGTTTTTTCTGTCAAAAATACCATAATTACTCTGTAGAGGTATTATGGTATAGAGATTTTTTTTTTCTTTTTTTTTTTTTTTAGCATATGCTAATGTAAACATCAGTTTCATAGGCTATCTAAAGTGGGTTTAGGCTTCAGAAAAGACCAACGAGTTCTAACTGTTTTGCCATAAAGAACTTGTAGGGTATCCTTTGACAGTTTGCTGTGCTCTGTATTTGTATATAACTCTGTCACTATCTGGATCTGACAGGATCTGACAAACTGAAGACATGAAACTTTCAAATTATTTCCAATTCAGTGTTTCCATCGTATTGTACCTATGAATTTAGTAGCTTTCTTGTCTAGCTTGCCATTAAAAACATACGTAATATCTTTATATGAAATGTAATATTTTTCTTAAAAAAAATCACAGAAGAAAATAAATAGTAAGGTATCCATCTGTTTAAATGATTGAGTATGAATTACGTACAGCTGCATATTTTATCTGCTCCAGTTAAAACTTTTAGTAGAGCCAGGTGTGGAACACACAGTTTTCTCATATTTTAGTTTAACATTTCTGTTAAGGGGATATAGTAGCTATAATTTCCAGTATAATTTTCAAGTTTTGGAATTGATTCATAGTAAGATTTACTTTAACAACTACAAATTATGCTCATATCAAATGAATAAAGTTTTCTTAACTAGATTTCAAAATTGTGTTGAATAATTACAGATATTACTGATATTTACAATCTGTGCTGTTTTGCAGTTCATTGATATGTAGTTTTGTATAAAAACTTACATAAACATCTTTGCTATCACTTTTTTTTTAATAGCAAGATTTATGCAAAATATAGCTATTATAATGTTCTTTGCTTGGATTATTATCTTGGTATTCAACATACCTTTGAGCTTAACTAAAGAGGCTTTAGGATGAATACTAAATTTTGCCTTACTCAAATTTACTGTAAGCTTATCTTTATCACGGGCATTTCTATAATGTCTTCTGTTGTCCCACTTGAAGCTGGAGGTTGCTTCTGCTGATGATCCTCAGTTGATTGGTCTTGGAGCTGATTGTTTTTTATTTCTAAGTTTGTTGCTGTTTGTTTTTTTTTTTTTGTCCTCAAACAGAGACCATTTCACTGATTGCTGCTGTTACAAAGCATATTGCTGCTAGGTTCTTGGGTTAATCTAGATCACATATCTTGTAAACTTTTACTAGGATGCATGAAGCTAGTTTCTTCTCTGTTGTTTTACTGAATATCTCTGAATTTTTTAGGTTAAATAAAAACACAATAAAACATGCTTGCTTTTCATTTAAATTAAATTGGATAAGCAGAGTAATATATTCTCATGTAAACTAGACTTAGAAACCTCTATCAGATTAGCTGACTAGAGTCTGTAGTATCAATAACAATTGTATTTACTTATTTAACTGGAAGCCATTCAAGCCATTCAAGCATAAGCCATTCAATCGATGTTAGTTAGGAAGTGATTAAACAAAACATGATAGGGAAGTGGGAACTGCAAAAGCTAGATAGTTAAATAATGGGTTAATTTATATGTTTTGTTGACTTTCAGGTCTTGATCTGCATATAGTCCATGGATTGTTTACCTGTTTGAAAACTTAGAAAAATAAAGCTGCAATTGAAAATGTATCATGTGTGCGCAATATGTCACTTTTTATTTAAGTGCTGTTCTCTCTTGAGTATTTAATTTCAATCTGCTGGTTTTAATTTGAGATAATTTTTAGTTCTGCAGTAGTATGCTGAAATTTCCTTTTTAAATATCATTTTAAAGATAATGTGGAAGACATACCCTTTATATTTTCTGATGAAGAGTGCCTTCTGCTCATTTTGTACCATAGAGCTGTCAGCAGCTTTTGAATTCCTTGCTGACTTTGCAGATTTTTTTCTGGGAAGATTTAAATGGCTTTGATCATTTCTTATTGGCTCATAATTGCTCCTATTTATGATAATCATGGTAGATTTCCACTCATAGTTTTCCAAGAGAAAGCAGGTTAAAAAAGATCTGAGTTTCTAATTTATGGCATCTTTTAAATTGTCTTACTACATAAGATAATTGGTCTCTTGTGGTTGGGATTTTTTTACTTCTGCCTTCCTTTAGAATGTTTCTAAACATGTATATGTGAATAAGGCTGGCTATCAAATTAAATCCTACTTTTGTAAAGCATTTTGTACATTTTATTGGTAGAGGTAACGCCAAAGAGTAATTGAACTCAGTTGAAGAAAAAATACGGTATTCTTTTTTGTTTTATTCCCATGGCAGCATTTGCAGCACTAGTTTCTATATCTCTAGGTACAGCCCATTTTTTCTATTTGGAAGTTTAAGAGCAAAAGCAGGAAGAGTATTTCTTTGTTTTAAATAAAGACATGTAATTTCCAGAGTTATTAAAATTAGCAAGAGGCAGGAGCTGGTATTAAACCTGACTTCATCATTAATTTTAACTGTAGTTCAGATTAAATATACATCTAAATACGGTTCACACCATTTAGTACCTTTCTAAGATGAAGTGAATGAGATAAAATTAAACTACGCACAGGGTGGATTTCACAGTTTTTCTGTAGGTTTTGTTTCTTTTTTTTTAACTGAGCACTTCTTGCAACTAAGATATTTCATTATGTTGTGGGGTTTGTTAGCTTCGGTAATGTTTACACTGTCCATTTACACTGTTTATGATCTTAATTGATTCATATACAATTTATTTATCTTAAACTAGGACAAATGGAGCATAGTCTCAGATTTTTGTTTTTGTTTTTTACAACTGGTGTACAACTACCAGACTCCAAAGTTTACAAGCTTGAAAATTCACTGGGGAAGACTTCTCAAGTTAGAACACTTTTCTTCTATAATACACGATATGTAATTTTTTGAGCAATGCTTTTCAAACTACGGTGATTGAGAATGTGCTCTTTTTTTCCCTGTATGCTAAGCGAATACATGAAGTAGGAGACTGTTTTTATTCCCTCATGGCAATTATCAGGTACAAAGTTCCTGCAATAATTTAGAATTTAGTAAAAGGTGATTTAATTTAAATCTTGGTGATTTAATCTCTAGCTTGCCCTTATACCTTTTCACCTTGTATCTGTCTTCTAAGTGACAGCTGTTTGCAACAGCCTTCCTAATGATAAGTTGTTATTATTACTCTCTTGTTATTTCATTTGTTATCCATTCAACTAAGCATACGTACGTCTACATTGTGAGCCTCAATCTGTTCGTCAGCTCATGATGGAGACGGAAAAAGATAAGTTAGTGCTAAAGACACTGATGTAGTAGATTGTTACCTGATTTGTTAGTATCAATTATGCTTCCGGTCACCATGCTGTAAGTGTTTCCTTTGTTACTTCCAAGCATCTATGAATGGTAATACTATCACAAGTATAATTATGGATATTTCATTGAGAGTTTTGCCAGCCAACATGTAGTTTTTGATATGGTCCAATATGGGAATTGTGAACAAAGCGAAATACTCAGTGGTTAGAATATTTTAAAATAGAGTATTCAGTTTATTTCATAAATGATGTGGTTTTATGGAAATCAGAAAGGAATCTAGAAGCTGTTGGATGCTTCCTTTAAAGGGAGAGATTAATTTAAATATTAATTCAGAAAATTGTAAGTGAATGGGCACCAGTGTTAAAGAATCTTATGAAAATGTTTTGTATTTTAATAGTTGAGGTACAAGCTGAAAATGCAAAAAGGCTATGTAGATTTTAAGTCATCCAGCTGCATCTTCTGAGGTCATAGAGATAATCTGTCCTCACATGAGGAGAAGAAATAAAAGTGCTAAATTTAGTAAGTTACTTCTTAGAAGGTAAAATCGATCTGCTGACTAACTTGTTTTCCTCTTCAGATAAAGCTTTTCATACTTTCTAAAAAAATGAAATCTCTGAAATGTGATACATAAGTTTTTTCAGTACAATGTAGAATTTGTGAATACCAGTTCTTTGTGGTTTTGGAATTACTAGTATTTTGAGTGTTGTAACAAATCTTCATATTAGTAGGTGATTTTTGTTAGGTTTTGGTGTGATGGAATATTCTCTGTATTTTTCAAAGTACCAAGAGAAAGTGCAGTCAAGAATGTTTCTTTGAAAAAGTAGCATATTACAAAGTAAACACATTTGCAAAATCTAGAAGCTTTGTATTTTTAATATTAAACTTTGCATTTCATTGTCAATTAAATGATTGATGCGAGCATATGACAACTTTTTTTTTCCCACCAACTATAAAATAAGAATACTTTTTTACCTGTTGAACCATACTCATCTGCTTTGCTTTATATGGTCCTACTTGTTTGTAAATGCTGTCCTACCATTTTGAGGGGAAGAAGAAGGAAGGAAAGAGACTGTTTTCAAATGTCCTGATGATACATTGAAACCACTTCATGGAATAATTGCAGATTTGAGGACATAATTCTACTGTATGATAAGAGCAATCATGCACATTATCTCTAAGAAGTATTTTCTTTATGGTAGTGGTCTATGGAGAATAAAGATTTGTTTTATTATGGCTCCTGACTTTAGACTTGCAAACAATAAAAATTTTTATTCGAATATATAATAACAAATTTTTACAGTTATTCTAAAAAGATCTTAGTTTCTTGGTGAAACAGGCAGGTTACTAATGGAAGATGGATTTTTAAAAAGATTTTAGTTATCTATCAGGATTTAATTGGTCCTTTTATCAAACTCGTGCACATCCATTAGATTATGTGGTCAAGGAATTTTAGGAACTATTGGATCCTGCTGTTTGGAAATCTAAATCTTAATTTATTACGCTAGTAGCTGCATGGCCTACCATAGAAAAAAAGATAACCATCATATCTTTCTGCTTGGAGAAGTTTGAAATAACTATTATATTCAAACTGTGTGAAGTATGGCACCAGATTTGCCCGATATTTGTAAGATACTTCACATAATTTGAAATAACTTCACAAAATTTGAAATAACTATTATTATAATTTTAAAGGAGCATAATTTTTTATGTGCTTTGTTTTAACAAAGTCTTAATCCTAAGAGGAAATTTTTTTTTTCTTTTTTCTCAGAAGTTTTACATGAAGCTGCGGGTGTCTTCTGTTGAATCATGTCATTTGAAAATACTTAAAAATAAATATTTGTTTCATTACAGATGGCGGAGTTTGACACCAGTTGGACAGCCTATACCAGGAACTAGATTTATTGCATTCAAAGTACCTTTAAAAGGGGTATGTATAAAAAGTAACTACAGATTGGCTCTATTAGATGCAGTGCAAAAGTAATGAAGAATAGCATGAATATTCATGCAAACTTCAGGAAAGTTTTATGAAAGAATAATTTATTCAGATTTAGCCGTTCCAGTCATCTACTAGTGGCTTTTTTACATAATATTCTATATTTTTTCTCTTTCTTTTAAAATTTGTATTTGGTATTACTCTTTTTATTTATCTTTTAAAAATCATAAAAGCTCTAACCAATCAGCACAATTAATTTAATCACTATTAAGTGGTTTAAACTCATTATCTTATTTAACATCTTTTCATGACTGTTGTAAGAAAATCAGATGGAAGGGGTTATGATATGAATAACAATCTAGGCAGTGTAAGCCAAAATATAATTTTAGGGAAATCAAGCACTCATTAAAGGATACCAGCCACTGCAGTACTTTTAAAATTACAGATTCAGATTACCAATTTCATAAGCAAATAGCTTCAGTGATCTGGAGGAATGCAGTATATTTAAAAAATAAGTCTTCATAGATTTCTTTTACTGATGTGTTAGTACTTCCTTTAGATTCTTACTAACATGGATTGCCATCTTAATCTATTAAATACACTGCGTCAGATCTTTTAATTCTTTGTGACAATACAAAATGTGGAGGTTGTCTTTTTTAGACTCTTCAGTTCTTTGGTGGATTCAGGCATAGGGCAAATTAGGGCAAATAGGGCAAATTTGTCCTTTTGTATAAATTAACATAAGTGCTGTGTAAATTAACTCTTATCAGTCCTTGCTTCAGATACACAGGAAATAAAAGTTTCTAACCTCTTTTAAAGTTCAGTGGCTAGACATGACCTTAGCAGTTACGAGTAAATATTCTATCTAAGCTGTAGTCTACAGATTACACTCTAGTACTCACATACAAAAAATTTGGTTCTTTGGGTATATTTGCGCCCATTACATTTTCAGTCACCATTCAGTTCACTTTTATTAGCAATGACTGAAGTGGAGTGCTTGCAGGGTTGATTCCTGCAGCTGCTTTTACAGCTTTAGTATGATGGTTTGGTTCCTTTGACACCAAGGATCTCATACTTGACATTGGTTATGTTCTCCATGGTACTGATGGATAGTACAACAGCCATGTGTCTTTCTACCAAAGACAGCCAGTGGACAGATCTAGCAGTGAATATAAAATTCAGTAGATTTATAATTAGCTTCTTTGCTATTCAGGTATTTGAGAGAGGATTTTTTGCGTCATCAGCTCCTGTAATTCTGTTTGCTCCAGCACCAGTTTTTTGCATGGATGCACTATTCTAGGCAGGATTTGTCCAGTGTGTGTATTTCCAGTTCCCTGTCACTCCAGATTTCAGAGGAAGATACTTCATTGCTAACAATACTCTTGCCCTGTAGCTCCTGTGATAGTCTAGAAGGAGCTCCGCCAGAGATCATAAAAAGGGCAGACGTTCTCGGAGAACCTTTATAGCAATATATCACAAGTAGGCACTCTACTTCAGTGTGTTGCTCACTTTCAGTCCTACTGATCTCACTGGGGCACAGATCCCTCTTCTGTGAAGCTGTCTTTGAACTTGGCCAGATGGAAAGTCTGGTACCCAAGAAAGCAAAATCTGTAATATTTCTGTCCCTTCAGTTTGTTCAGTCTCAACTATGCAAGATACAGAAATGACAAGTCTGCCAGAAACTGTGTGCTTGAAGGTTATGGAGTTTGTGGCAGAATACACATAAAATGCATAACTGGCTAAACTGTGATGTCTTTGCAAAGAAGGTGGAGGTCAGTAAATCTGTCTGGAAACGCTGAAGGCCTGATTGGTCATAGTCTTGTCAGAAGTCCTATTATTAAATTGATGGAACAGACCTCTTAAATATGCAGCAGTTTCCTTCTTTGCTACCTATTAGGAAATTGATGATTGGTGATTTCACCCAAAGGGAGAAAGCATATTTTCAGTATTTCAAGACTCAAGGGTTATTGGTTTAGCAGAAGATGTGCTGCTAGTAAAAGCTTTAAGGTCATGGATTTACTTGGAAGGGTTTTTTGTCCTTCCAGATCATCATTGTAATGCTAACATTGTAGTATAGTAAGGACTGGGCGAGTTCTTTCCCATGCCATAGAAAGATTTTAGAATTGATACAGATTTCTCACAATCTCAGAGCCCAATTAAACACCTAAATACTCAGCAGGAGTTTTTCAGAAAATTCCAAATAGTCTTTCAAAACATAGTCTTTCATAATACATTTAACTGTTTACTCAATCAAGCGATATGTTTAGAGATACCTTATTTTTGTAAATTGTATTCCACCTGAGTTTGTGTGGCTTCACATAGTAAAAGAGAAAATTCTTTAATGTTCTGCATTAGACCTTTTGCAGATTCACTGTTGTCACCTTGAAGTTAGTAAGTTCAGTTTCAGATTTTACTAAAAGTTACTGCTGAATAGTGGTGAGATCACTGACTCTTGTTCGTTTTGTTTGAACCTCAACAATCTCCACTGTTTTTTCAGCAGTGCACCAGTATCTGAAATACATAGGACTGAATACTTCTATATGCTTTCTGCCCTATTCTTTTTAGCTCAAGCTTCCTAATCACATATCAGCTTTGATAGGACTGTCCTACTGTTTATTCTTTAATTTGGTTTCCTGTCTCTGTTTTCAGACTCGAGATAAGTGCTTGCTAGCATCTTAGATTATAATCCGTACAGTCAAAAGAAGGAATGGTTAGTTACCCTATAGCATCTGTGGTTCTAAGAGGTATGTGGTCTGTGGCTGCCTTCCTTTCCATTAGTTCTGAGTCCAGTCTGCTTGAATTTCTTGTTGACAAAGGAACTGAGAGGTGGTTGAGGCTGCTGCATCTTTTGCCACTGTATTTATTGGTTGTGGCTGAGCCTGTGTCAAAAGGCTCTCACAATGGACAAGCGCACTATTCAGAGAAAATCCAGTCTTGCGTATTTGAGGCATTTTCATACCTAGAGTGAAGAACACATTTCAAAAAACACAGCTACAATAGGGTGAGTAAACATTTTTCCCACTGTTTCTGTCAAATGAAATTAATTATTCATTACCCACCAACATGCAGCTTGCTTAGTCACCGTATTTTAGTCTTATTTAATATTTCCCAGTGCTAAATGACATGCAAGTACACTCTGCCAAGAGATGAAGCAGGGATAAAAATGTCTGCACAACATTTGTGGGGAGAAAGTTAAAACCTTTAGAAGAAATGAACTCTTGTATCACAACTTCTAATGTTTTATGTGAAATACACTGTTAATTTTGTGTTATTGTGCAGGACAAAGTATGTTTGGGGGAAAGGGGATTGTGGTGTTTTACTTTTTTCTGATGTTTAGTTACTTAAATATCAGTATATACATGCTGCATTTTGCAGGATTTTTGTGTCTATCAAATTAGTGCTTATTTTAATAATGTTTGTTAACGTACGAGTGGAAGTTCTCACACATTTTCTTGCATTTTCATCAGAATAGGAATACACAAATTCTTGCTTTCTCTTTATTTGGTTGCTTTTCTTCTTTTATCCGTATAATATATAGACATGGTTCTGACACTGTAAATATTCCCTTTTGAATACTGATGTTTCCTAGTCCTAATTAAAACAGCTGAATATTACAAATGTCATGTTATTAGAACTTAAAAAGAAAATCTTTCTTTTCCATTTTCCTTGTAGGCAATTAACCAGAGGCTTACCCCAACCCAGAAATTTACACCAAAAGACTTAATTGCTGCAATGAAAGCCCTAAATGTGGAGCTTGGATTAATTATTGATTTAACATATACCACACGATACTATGAAGTTAAGGTAATATAAGCGTAATAACAAAATAAATCAGTTACTGCAACCTTTCTTTTAAAGTATTTACGCATTTGCTTACCTTGAATTGGAATAAACAAGTGAGCCATCTAGACTTACTTGGTGTCTACAATAGAAACTAAATGCTTTATCACAGAGGAAGTAACCCCTTCTCCCAGCTAGTTGCATTTGTCGCTTATTTGTATTATGGTAACTGAGAGTAATGGATACAGACTTCAGTGCCAGGCACCGCAGAAAAGATGCAGAAGACTTACAGTCTGTGCACTGAAGACATTCTCAATTATTCCTAGGATCTTTTTTTACTGATCTTTAGTGGAATCCACTAAGAAAGTGTACATTTTTAAACTACTTCATTAATTTCAAATTTTTTACCAGTATGGTGCAAACAATTGTGCTTAATCAGCCTCCTATTGAAAAGGAGAATAAATAGCAATGTGATAACTGAATGTTAGTCTTTGAATGTACATGGGCTGTAAGCATTAAGAGGATGAATATGTGAGTGTATATATATGATTGTGGGTGGGAGGAACAAATATTGCTAACGTAAAATGGGTTAGAATGGAATTACAAGAATCTGGTCTCTTTAGTTAATGTGCTGCCTTATTAGCAGGGATAAATAAGTCTTCTGTAGAAACTGTTTGAGATCAGGTCTTTAAAGTGGAGATGTAAATGGTAGTTTCTGAGAGTGTATCTCTCTAGAATTGTGTCAAAATTGTTTCCAGTTTCTACTCGGGATTTGAACTACTATTTTACATTGGCATTATGTTAGATACTGCTTAAGGGTTTTCACTGATGCAAGACTTCAATAATTTTTACCTTTTTCTTTTTCTTTTTGTTGCTAGGATTTACCTAAAAGTGTGCAGTATAAGAAACTTTATACTGTTGGACTTGAAGTCCCCGATAATGCTACTATCCTACAGTTCAAAAAATGGGTCAGAAAATTCCTATGGGAAAATGCGGGAAATGGTAAATATCAGCATCTAATGCTGTAAAAAAACCAAAAATTTTATTTAACCGTATAATTTATTAATTTCAATAGATATTTAAGGCACAAGGGATCTTAGACTTTCCACTTTACTATCACAATAAGATACATTATGTGAAGCACTACATATCTTTTTTGCATTCAAAACATGTCTTTTTCAAAAATGACTAGTAACTTAAATGCCCTTCCTAATAGTATTATACCTGTATTTGCGTTATGTGTCAAAGCGACTGCAACAAGGCTTTCATGTGTCTGACCCAAGTTGTCTACCATCGGCTTAGTGTTGTAGCTGCCAGCCCTTTATGGATGTTCTAAATAGCACAAGGTTTCTCTGATGGCACTAGGCACTGATACGTGTGAGCAACTTAAGTCCGTTTAGTCTGACGTAGTAGTTTTTTGATTTATGAGACCGTTACTGCCCTCATATCCTAGCAATTCTTAAAAATCATATTACAGACACAGTGTCAATGTTTCCGCAGTGTGGATCTGCTGCTGTTTTAGTGTTTATGCGATAGCACAGTTCTTGCTGAGATGGTATAAGGTGCTTTTTGCAAAAATAAATTTGCCACAGCCTGTTTGCAGCTTTTACCTTCTCACTTTTTTTGCTAGTGATTCTTTGTAGGCAGATTTTAACTGTTTGTCTATCCAATATTGGAGGACCATTCCTTCAAGCCTTTTCATGTTATTTGCTGTGGTTACTTTGGCATTTTCTGTGAGAAAGTAGAGATATTAATTGCCCAAGTGCGTACAGTTTTTGCTGCAGAGCATAACCGTGGTTTTGCTGTGGATGGTCAACTCTGTTTTGTGAAAGAGCTCTGACCTAAATCTCAGGTATGAGAGCCTGAATTAGAAGTGCTGGGAAAATTAAAAGAGGTAGCCTTTGTTGTTGCTCAGGAAGTTAGTGTATAAGTTCTTCCTTTGCTCTTTTTCAGCTTAGGGAAATTACTTGGAAATTATTAGTTTTCTTCTGGTTTTGATCTAGTGATTTTTCATGTGACAAAGAATAGTCTGTATTCAAATCTAATTATTTCTGATTCTCAGAATTGAGAGAATCAATTCCTAATTTGTTACTGGATAAAGACCTGCAGTTCCAGCTAGTAAGACCATTTGGCAGGGCTTAACTTCAGAGTTGGGAGAACTTTCATTTTTATATTAACTTACTCATCGTAACTTGCCCTCTGTTTTAGATTACCCCTAAAATTTCTCAGGATTGTTCTTACATACAATTTTTGAGAATTTGGGTTTTTTTAGTGTCTGAATTGTTAGGACACCAACTTATAATAAACTTACATGGCAATGTGCCTGTCTTGTTCTGTGGCAAACAGTTATATTTTACCTCATTCAAAAATTTATCAAAGGCCCATTTCAAAGACTGTCAGTACTTTGTCTCTGCCACAACTTTGTTCTTCTAATGATTAAAGTTTTTCGTCTAAAATCTAGTCTAAAACTCTCAATTGGTTAATATAATTTATTCTTATGCTAACTTTGCCCTTAAGTATTGTTGTTCTCCATGCCCGTTATTATATTCAGTATCTCAAATTTGGTTTTACAGACTAAATAAGACAAGCTTCCTAGGTCCCTTCTCATAAGTTTTTTTGTGACCATCATAGTAGCTCTTTCTATACATATTTCAATTTTTTTTTTTCATTAAATATGGGTAATTAGAATTGTATGGAATAGTCTGGATGAGTGCCTTGCATGACCATATTAGTGTTTCCCTGTTTCTGTTGGAGATACCTGATTTGAAACACCCTAATAGCAGTAAGTTATTCTGCTTTTTAGCCTTTAGCTGATTAGTATAACCTTTCCAAAAAAGACAAGATTTCTTTAGAGATTACCGGTTCCCATTAGAGTGCTTCTTTTCTCCATGCATAAATTCCTCATTTCTATGGTTCATCCCAGTAATGATCCAAATTTTTAGTCCAGTTAAATGAACTCTTCTAGTAATGTATTTCATACTCCTGGACACTAGAGCTACTATGTTTATTTTCTCCTTTTTGTAAGTTTTAGAAGAATCTGTAAATTTTACATATGCTTGTTTAGATTTGCTTTCAAGAACATATTATATTCTTTTTCTCCTGTTACTGCAGTGCTGGCTGAGGCCAGCCGCTCTACCTGTCATCACTCCTCTTTCTTTTTTCCTACGTTCTGCAGAGTTAATCTCAATCTTCACAGGTTTGGAAGTAGTGAGCTAACTGCTACTAGAGATCCAGCATGAAGAGGACAAAGTCTGGATGTATCTGTACTTTTACAGGCGTGACAGTATAATTTTGTAAATAGCAAGCATTATTTATCATTACTTTGCTAGAAAAGTACAGCTTTTTTTTTTTTGTCTTGCACTAATTTTTTAGTAATTTCATTTTCTGAACTATTAAAGACTGTGTTTTCCTTTTTGATAGAGAAACTCATTGGCGTTCACTGTACTAATGGAATTAATAGAACTGGCTACCTTATATGTAGGTAAGGGTTGTATAAAACCAGAAATCATTGTTCACAAAAGATAGTGTCCTTATATTAATCTGTAATCCCTTTGGGAAAATAATCTAATCATATTTTTCTTCAGATATCTTATAGATGTTGAAGGCTGGGATCCAGAGGCAGCCATCCAAGGTATTTATACAGTTTGAACTAAGGCACATGTTGGGTTGTAGTTCACGATTACTACAATTGTATTCACAAATACTACAATTCTATTTTAGTATCCTTAGAGTTATTTCATGTGCTGGCTTCCATAGAAGATTTTCTCTGACTGTTGAATCTATTCCAGGCAAGCCTTGAGCATTAGGAAATTGTCAGCATAGTAGGAGTATGTTTTAGCTGCTTAAAATCTTTTTTTTTCCTTTTGCTTTGAAGGGTTTTCAGTCATAGGTTGCTACCACTACTAGTTTCAGTTGTTTAAAAAAATGCTGCAATATTGCCAGCCTGCTGAAGTGTTTAATACCAAGTTAGAATTGTTTCAAATTCAGCATCTCATGGTGAACAGAAACTTGCCTTTCACGTTTTTGTGGCTCAGTTTGAGCACATTTCATTAGACTTGTATCTTTTTTTCTTTAGCTTTTGGTGATGCTAGAGGTCATCGCATGGATGGTCTTGTGTATCTCGCAGATCTCAGAACACAACCAATGAGAAGGTAAACAGAAGCTTTTAGTTGTATGGTTAAGAGTTTCCAGTATGTCTACTAGTATTTTGAAAAATTCACTTCCAGTCATAAGCCAACATTAACCCCCTCTTAAACATTTAATATGCAACTACATAAATATTGTAAGACTTCTGATATGAATAACATGAAGTGCAGTGTACTTCCTTTGTTCATCTTTTGAATTTATATGGTTCAAAAAATTTTTTTAATCTGACATCTACTATTGAACATTGGTGTGGTTTTATCGTACTATGACAAGTGTATTGAGCCTGTATTCTGATTATAAGCTGAAAGGAGCCACTGCAAAGATTTCTTTATAAACTCTATAATCTGCCTGCTGTTGTTGGCATGGTAGAATCAGATGCTTAAAAAAAAGTACGACAGTTTTAGGAATAAAAAAGTATGGGAAAGTGGAAGATTGTTCTCAACTCCTCTGTTCATAGTAGTTTTACCCCTGGTGTGTAAGAATTTTACGCTTACCATATTCACCTAAGAATAGCTAAGCTTTACATCTTCCTAAATTATTTGTGCCAATGATATCTTGTAGCAGTAAATTGATTTTAAAATAATACCTGACTGATTTGCATCTTTTTAGTTTATTTGAATGCCCTTTTTTTTACTGATATCATTGTTTTATAATCTGTGCATGATTAACTTAGTCCTGTGACAGATTTTTGAATTGGTATGGTGCTTGTCTCACCTCCTTTAGGGTGTTGTTCCAAGCTTACGAAGTTTAGGTATTCTTTTTGCTTTCCCTGCAGCCCTTCCCCAAATAAATTTACAAGATTAAAATTTGCTAAGTTACAAATGTCTGTAAATTTAACTTAACATACAAAAATTTCTGTCATTCTAAACTGAAGAATTTTATGGAGGTTTTTTTCTCTCTCAATGGTATGTTTTAAAAAAGGAAGCTTATGTGAGATGTTTTTGTTCTTCTCAGTAATCTTGGAATGGATGTATGGGATTCAGATGAAGATATTATTCCCCCACCACATGCAATGGAAGGACCTGTAGAGCGAAAAGATTTTCAGGGGTAATAGCCTGAAACATGGAATTAAAAGCCAAAAAACCCACACCGTGGGAAAGATAATTGTTTCTTATTGAAAACACTATAGATACTCTAATTTAAAAGAGATTTTATGTATATAGCCTACTCGTGCAAAATATATTTACCGAATTTACAGCTGTGGGATGCTTGATGCCAGAAACTAACACAGCTGTAAAGAGATGAAACAGTGAAAAGATAAGGGAAAGAAAGGGAATATGTGCTATTAGAAGTCCGTAAGTAATTAGTTCACTTGGAAAAATTTAAAGTTTTACTTTGCCTGTCCTCCTTTATTATTCTACAGTAATTTGCAATTATTTTTCATTAATTTGGAATCACTGGTTTTGCCTGTTTAACAAGCACTATAGAATTACAATTGAATGTTTGTCACAGCTTCTACTATGACACTGAAAGTTTTGTAATCTTACTTACAGTTTGGATTCTTAGTAGCTTTGATACCTATATATTTGCAATGTCTTTCATATTAATTCTTAGTTAAAAAAACTTGTTTTCATTAATGACTTGTAGCACTTATGATGTTCTATTTAAGACAAAAACTTCTTTACAGGTCTGGGAAAAGATTAAGAATTTATGATGACCACTCTCACAATGATTTGCAAGGACAGATACAGTTGAGAGATTTTGATTTCATTAATAAGGGACCTGGACAAAGACGAAGACCATTTCATGACCATCAGACTCAGGATGATTTAAGAGCACCAAAGCAGATGAGAAATTGGGACTACAATAGGGGACCAGGACAGAGGCGAAGACTCTTTCCTGATCACCAGTTTTATGATGATTATGAAGAAGACATGGAGCTGAAGGATCTAGACTTCAGTAACAAGGGATCTGGACAAAGGTTGAGACCTTTTCATGGACACCAGTTTCATGATGATTTACAGGCAGAGAGACAATCGAGGGACATTGAATTTAACAGAAGCCATGGACAAAGGCAGAGATCTTTTCCTGAGCATCCATCTCAGAATGATTTGCAGGAAGACAGGCAGTCAAAGGATTATGATTTTAGTAGCAGGGGCCGAGGTCAGAGACGAAGACCGTTCCATGACCACCAATCTCATGATGAATTTCAGACTCAGATACAGTTGAAAGAGTTAGAATGTGTCAGCAAAAGTCCTGGCCAAAGACTGAGATCTTTCCATGACTATCAGTCACATGATGACTTACAGCCACAGATGCAATTGGGAGATTTTGAATTTGTTAATAGGGGTCGTGGGCAAAGGTTGAGACCTTTCAATGATCACCAGCCTCGCAATGACTTACAAACAGGGATGCAACTGAAAGATTATGATAATAAAGGTCCTGGACAAAGGCGTAGACCTTTTCATGACCATCAGCTTTATGATGACTTACAGGAACAGACTCAGTTAAAAGATTTTGATTATGTCAATAAAGGGCATGGACAAAGGCCAAGACCTTTTCATGATCATCCAGGTCACGATGACTTGCCACATGAATGGTGTTCAGACAGGTAAAGCATCCTTGAGCTGTAAGACCAGAATTAGAGAATAGAAGTGTAAACCTCCGCACTTTTAAATTAAATTTCAAATTAATTTATTTTTTAAAAATAAATTAATTTTAAATCAATTAATCATCCTTTTAAAATCATATATAAATGATCAGTTAATTAACTCTTTTTATTTTGGTTTATGGAAGAGTTTGATTGTAAGCTGGAGTGTTGCAGCTTTGAATGCCAATGTTCCTAAATCAGAAGGTTGTGCTTCTTTAAATTAAAGCTTATGTGTTTCCTTTACCTTTTCAGAGTCAGCTTGAAAGAAAACTCTTTGTCCCACTTTGTTTTGTCTAGAAACTTACATTTTAAAAAGCAATCCTCAAGAAAGAAGATGATACGAAATTTTATTTATGCCCTCAGCCAGAGATAAACAGTAATGCTACAAGAAAGTTTGATTTGCATTCATTTATTCCACGAGTCAATAATTTGTTAGAAATCCCTTTGCTTCTGAACTTGCATCATATTCTCCCAAATACATATCACTTACTAGTAAACCTATTCGATTCTGGCATAATATTTCAAAATATTTTTAATATTTCAGAACGTATTTTCAGTTATTTGTTGGGCTAGTAAAGTTCAATTTAATCTCTTCCATTGTACAGCTGAAACAGAGGATATTATATCATTACAATGAAGCCTACCAGTTTAAGGTGTTAATACAATTGAGAGTTTTTATTAAACTTCTAAGTAAATTTTAATTAAAAGTAAAAATATTTTTATCTCATTTGATAAACGCATATTTTTCAAAAGCTTACAGCCATTTGTACTCTTCTTAACATGCGATTCTTTTGGTTATTTGCAGAAGTCAATCTTTTTCTTCCCATGAAAATGTACCAGACCCTCATTTCTCCTCATCTCCTTCACTTCACAGAGATTATGGGTCTGATAATGATGACTTTCACAGAAGTTATAGGTAAATATCAGATTTCATACATTGTTTTCTGACTTATCTTTGTACTGTTACTCCCCCAGTTTCCCAGCTAAAAAAAAAAAAAAAAATGAACTGCACAGGGTAAAAATTGATGTTAATATTTTTGCTTAAATGCAGTTTAAACCATTGAATCTGAACACTGAACAAATAATGTGACTGATTTGCTGTCCATCTACATTGAGTTTGAGTGTGATTATGAAATGATTTGAGAATCCCTGACATAAGTCATTGACATGACAAGCACAGTTCAAGCTAATGTACTACAAAATATGAAAATCTATTGTCAGTAAGCAAAAAAGCAAAACACAGATGCTATATTTAACTCTTAACTGCTGTCTACAACAAGCTAATGAAGTTTACTGTGAGGGATGGTCAGACACTGAAACAGGTTGCCCAGAGCAGCTATGAAATCCCCATCCTTTGAGTTACTCGGAACTCAGCTGGACATGGCCATGCACAAACTCATCTAATTAGACCTACTTTGAGCCGGTGGCCCTAGGTACTTCTAGAGATCCTTTCCAGTCTAAATTAATCTATGGTTCAGTGAGGGAGAAGATTTTAAAATTACAAAAATTGTTCTGAATTGGCTTTATACACCACTTATTTTACAAAGTAAGGAAGGTACTTGAGAGTAAAGAGAATCCAAAACAAAAAGTATATATATCGTAGATGCATTTTTAGATCCTTCCTTATGTATTTTGTAGGAGAGTGATTCTTCTATTGCAGAAGAATTAATAATTAAAATATTTGGAGATATAAATCCAAAGTATATTATTGCCTGTTGAGACTACGTACTAGAGAACTACTATTACATATTATTCACAAAAATGAAAACATGGGCTTAGGAACAAAAATGGCCCCTAGGTAGAGAAACCCTCAGTAAACAGGGAATTTTAATTAGAAACAACACTTGAAACAAAACATCTTCTAGTAGAATTACATACTATAAAGAGCTGTAATTTTAATCACTAGAGCTGAAAAATTAATGCATCATCCAGTAGAGAGGATTTTAATTTTAGGGGGTAAAAACAAGAATGAGGTTCTGAATTGTTCTTTCAAGGTTACACAAGTTTAATTTCTAATGGTGGCCACCAACAATAAATCAACTGTTTTATTTCTAAGGATTTCACTGTTCATATTTGTTCTTCTTACAGTAATCGACCAAATTGTCCGGAAGACAATAGGAGAATGCATCCCTCGGATGAATTTAATAGAGGGAAAAACAGATTCGCACCATATTCTTCACGAACAATGCATGCATCTTCATCTGTACACCAAGAAGATAGTTCAATAGACTATGAAAGAAAACCTTTTCAAGGTGAAAATACCAGAGAGATGGAACAAAGTAAAAGATTACCAGTTGTAACAGTTGATTACAATTATGGTCTGCCGTTAGATTATGGACCTGAAGAGGAAGAGAGAACACATTATGATTTACCTCCAAGAGACCACTACAACTGGAACTGAATAAAAAGGACAACGTTTGTTCAGCTTAGACTTACTTTTACCCATTTTACTTTGTATGTGGACCAATTTTTTTTTTTTTTTAACAAATTAGGAAAACACAAATTTCAGTAGTAGAGAACTGGTCTCTACTGTAAGATTAGCTTCTACTGATGTTTGGTTCTTTAAATTTATTAGGGTGTATTTGGTAAGTGTAGTTGGAGACAAGGTCTCAGTACACATGGAATTAAAGTAGTCCTTCCTTTTAGTGAAATTGGAACACTGTACCTTAAAACAAACAACTTTCTGAGTGATTGTAGTTTTGTCTTTTGTTTTACGTTTCTTTAGAATATATGTAATTCCCAGATGCAAGAGTCATAATAAACTACTGCACTATCAGGTAGATAAGCATTGAGATTATAGAAAAAATACTGTGAAACGAATGAAGCAAAGTTATGTCCACTTCATCCTTTAATTTGAAAATAGAAGTTTGAATTATCGCTAACAGTCTCTGCAGCACTGCAGTTTAATTCCAGATATTTTCTGTACCATCAACTGAACTGACCTAGTTGCACTCTTTTTCATAGCAGAATTTTTCCCAGATTGCTAAGAACATGGAAAAATTCCATGAGTTTGAATACTCTAAATGTCAAACTTGCTTTTCAGTAATCTGAATATCCCGTCCTGATTGTATATTTTTTCCTGATCCCATAGGTTATATATGTTTCAGAATAGCCCAGTGCAGGTAAATTTCACAATTTTCTCAGCAACACATCCAAATGAGGTAGCTCATGTATCATCAGCTTACCTGTCTCAAGTGGCCAAGATCACTGGTGTCTATATAGTTACACCTCCCTGTTTGTTAGTCATATCTGTCTTACTCTCCAGTTCTATTTTCTACTAGTTTCTTTCTACAGCACAGCAGAATAATGTAATCAGAATAGAAGAATAACCTCTTCAGGTAAGTTACCTTTAAGAGTATTGGATGGTCTCCTCTGAATTGCCACTTCAAGGGTTCTCAAGAAGGTAGTGGAACAAACAGTAACTAAATTCCGGCAGCTGCACAGTAGCACCAACAGCTCCTAATATGGATAAACAAATCTTAGTTCATAGGATGGAAAACAGTATTAATGTAATACTTGGGTAAATTAAAAAAATGTACATTTTTCATTATTATTAAATTTTCATAAATTAGTATTTTTAAAAGGCATCACAGTGAATAAGGATAGACCACGATATTAAAATAAACAATTAAAATTAATGCTAGATACTTAAGTCATGCTGTTAAGAAACTGCCTTAAAAGGAGCATGGCTGTAAAGCGTAAAGCAAGAGGGTGTAGGTATATACTAGAAAACTGGAAAAAAAAAAAAAAAAAAAAAAAGTGTTCATAGCCAGAACCCACAGAGCTTTTTTGCCTTTTAACTAGCAGCATAAAACCCAGATTTCTGAATTCATGGTTCTATAGCTGCTAAATAAGGACTAGATTTGAGAAGTGTGGAGCATCTGGCAACTCCTGTTGTTTTGTGACATATGCACTAAGTTCCCAAAATCAAAGGATTCTGTGGATATAAATTCAAACTGCAAATGCTTCATTGCCTTTGCAACTGGTAGAACAATTTTGGCTTTGTTCCTTGTACAAAGTAAATAGTTTTCTCGTTTTCACAGCAGCTAGTCAATTGTATTTCCCATTAAATCTCTGATTGTGAGCCTCATTCGTGTGGTCTCGGGAATGAAGCTCTCTATATATAAACTGGTTGTGGAACTGAGCACTAAATGTTAAGAAAAGGCATTTGTTCCTTCACTTGCCTTTTTTTTTTTTTTTTTTTTTTTTAATGAGGGGCAAGCTGAGAGCTGAGAATCTTTATCTAGGCTTCTTTATTTGGAAGTGAGGAAGATCTGCAACTTGGGCTACTATATTGCTGGATTCTTTAAAAAAACATCATCAAAACTCTTCCTGGTATTCTGCAGCAGGGAGCCAAGAATTAGGGACTGGTATTACAATCATTTGGGGTTTTTTTTAATACGATGTATGTGGTATTCATAAAGTGAATAAAGAGCAAACATTTGTCCTTCATATTTTTGTCTTTGAGTTTGAATCATGTTTTTTTAGGATTGACATGACCCTACAGTCAATCCTTTGTTACTTCAGACTGGGGGTGCTAGGACTCCCTGGACACATGAAAAGCTGGTGCACTGGAAAGCCCAGTGCAAAGAGAAACGTGGCATAAGGCGTTAGGATCAGCACTAGCTGTTACCAGTCCTTGGTCAGTTCCTGCAGGACCCTTTAACGGTTTAGATACAAACAGATGGTATAATTCCTGTTATCTGACAAAATAAACATCACTTTCGTAACTATGTTGGATTCCTCTTTTCAAGCAAAATTAATAGACACGATGTTTCCACAAATGGCTTTGAGATGACTATATGAAAATAGCCCCGCCCTCCCCGAATTTAGGATAAGGCTTTCTGCCCTGTTATTCCGAATGGAATTAGGCAGAGCTAAGCCCACATAATACATTACAAATCGTTACTGACATTTATGTCAAATTCCACAGCTGAGTCATCACTGCATATTCACATCTGTAGTATTCAATTACTAATTGATCCACATGGTGAAGAATTAAATTAAATGAAATAAAATGCTTCTTGATTTTTAACGGAATATTGTATTACAGTGGCACTCATTTAAAAAAAAAAATTACACAAAAAAACCCCAACATTTTCTCTTATTTATTTCACAGTTCTACAAAAATGTCATAAAATCTTGCTGGCCTTCTTTGTGTATGTTCTCAGCAAACCTAAAAATAGCTGTTGTTCCATCGAATAGCAATAAAAAGCAAGACTGGATGGACAGTGTTGGTTTCCCACTGCCCTGAGTGCGAAATCTTGTAGAAAAACACCAGGATACAGAAAATCAAGAGGTAGCACAAAATTATTTGAAGGAGTTTTAAGAGTTTTAATATATATAACTATTGAAGTCTGAACTCACAGAAAACTTCTTTCTCTGTTGCTGTCCTGAAGTCATGATTTAATTGGAGGCCTGACTTTTATCGGGTGGTGAAGCCATGGGGCCAGCTCGCCCTGAGGTATGATCATACTGAGTTGGGAAATGCTCAGGTGGTTCCTGAAAAGTAGTGGGAGAAAGTTCGAATGGGCTCTATGCAGAAGGCTGATTCCCAAGAAGGGCTTGGGAAAAAGAGAGGTCAGCTCCAGCAGAAAACTAGAACACAGGGAGACGATGACTAAATTTATACGTAGAAATCTGCATTACATGTACAGCTAATTCAGTTCTGCATGTGAAGAATAAAGTTACCTAAAAAAGGGCTAGAAAGCTTTGCATGTGACTTTTTCTCTCAGCTGGGCCAAAAGGTAAGTGACCTACAAGGAGCCCCAAGTACGATTAGGATCTTTTCCTGTTTATTTGCATCTAAAGTAACTGCTAGCAAGCTGCAGACTTTTTTTCATGTGCAAAAGTGATCAGTGATGTGTTACGATTCAAATCTGGGGTGCACTGCTACAACCAGTGTGCCAGGACCAGCGGCTAAATGACCTGAGCACTAGCTTCTGAAGATCAGTTCCTTCTTAAGATGTCTCACATGAGGCATCCAGAAATGCAGACACCCAAACATTGTTTGTGGTTTAGAATCTGCTTAGTGCTGGGGAAAGAAGGAATGTATTCCCTGGGTTCAGCAAGGGGATATGAATTCCTGGCCACTGTGAACAGCAGTTTATTTAAAACGTGTGTGCAAACAAAAAGCAATAGCTTCCATTCTCTTATCAACCACTAGTGTTTGCTTCCTCTCCAGGCTGACTCTTACTCGCTCCAGTCGTCAGTGGACCGTGCTTTACTGGTTCCAGTGGACAGTAATTCCCAAACATGCAGATCCCTTTCTTCTTCTTGCGGGGAGTCAGAAAAAACAGATGACAAAAAAAATCAGGTGAGGAGGCAACTTGGTTCTCCTTCCTCCTGAGGTGAGAAGACAGTAGGGGGAAAGGGGGGAGGACAGGAAGAAAAAAATTTAAAAAATGAAGGAGGAGGGAAAACAAAAACTAAAACGTCAGGGGGAAAGAAAGAAATATGCAAAAGATGCAAGTGTAAAAAGCTGGCGAAAGATTACTGGGTATAAAAAGAGGGCACATGCTGGAAGAGGAGATCCTGGCAACTTCTTATCTGGGTCTTCTAAGCTGTGCCTGTGGCTCTCTGTGAGCGCCATGCTGATGTAAATAACAGTTATCAAAAAAATACAGGAGCATTCAGACTTCTAATCCTGCAATAAAGTCACCCGGGAACTTAAAACTAATTAAGGCTTCCCTTTAAGCTTTAAATCTAGCGTATGTATAGTATAATATCCTGAAGATACTCCCTCCAGAATCCAATGAGAATTTCAGACAATCAAGAAACTACTCCACAAATCTGTCTCATACATTGAAAACAAGCTAGGTTTTTACTGGCTATTACTGTACCCATCACACAAAACTTACAGTTATGAATTAGTTAAAGTGTAACAAACAAATCTGAACTGCCTCTGTAAGAAGTAAAACAAGCAAGTCAATGCAGAGGCATACTGAAAGCAGGAGGCATTTTCTTCCTTTATGAGGAACATTCACGACTGAATGTTCCACAAAGGGAGATGAAAGAGCCCCCAAGATAGATAAACTTAAAAGTTGACACAGATGAGGATGATCATCATGCAGTTCTTCAGTGGACCTCTTCTAACTTTACTTTGCAAGTTATACTACCAAACAAAAGTCTATACAGCAGAATGAACCCTTTAAGGCGAAGATAAGAGAGTGAAAGCTATTGTTGAAATCTGCTAATCACATCTCAGTCCATCTTTGGGGTGTATTCACATGTTCAGGAATGCACATAGTAAATAAAAGGAAGAAAGTATAAACTGGCATTGCAAAGTGAATGCTACAGCTGATTCATCCTTGTCTACACACCACAGATGAAAAATGGGACCACAATATCATGGTATCTACATCATGTTGGACCTATTTAATATCAATTCTGGTACATGGTGAATGGTAAATTCTGATTTTCAAAAGTTACACACCAGAAGTCTTTAACAGGCCTAAAATATATTCTGAGAAAGTGTTTACAAATTAAAAGAAAAACATTAATTGTTTTCTATCATTTAATATATT